ACACGATCAAGTTCTGCTTCCCAAATTGGGTCTCTAGAGTGCTTTTAATTTATTGCAAGTCATCTATGAGAAGATGTGGAAACACGTTGCGATAGACCATAACAAGCAACCAGGTTACCGTGGCTTAACTAACAGTCTTTCATCAGTCCCAACGGGATAACAGACCACGTGCAATTTCTTGGTATGCTCAATTAAAAACTAAAATGCATTTTCATAAGTCACCTCTACTGGTGCTTAAGCCAATATGTTAAGAGGAGGCTACTTTGACTTTTTGCCCAAATCCACAGTCAAACATCAATAAGGCTACCTTTCTCTCAAAGATTCACGTATGTGTATTTCACTTGATACTGCTTAGGACCAGTTATGAATATATCCACTCCCATTGATAAGTAACTTTGTCAATAAGAATTTTGCTGATGTGTGTGGTGCTATTCCATAATTATTTTAAAAAAAAAGTATCTATACTTCCCATTAGAAGAGTGAATGAAAAATATAAAACTAACTTAGTACTTATTAATTGCTAACTGGGGGGAAGCTTCATGAATTGCATGGGAGGATTGAATACAGATGCACAAGTGAGACCAGCAGGTTAACTGACTTCACTTGAAAAGTGTGATACCACTTAATACTCTCTAAGACACCAGTATCATTTGTATCTAGAAGGGAGACTTTTATCTGTTTACAAAATTCTGCTCCATTGCTCAGATTATATAGATAAACAGTTACATTTCTGGGCAGTAATTTCTCTGGCGTTTGACAAAGCAAAATAGCATTTTATAGGCCCTACACTGAGTCCTTTAACAGAATGAGGGACATTAAACATATGAAGTCATTCTGGTTTTATATCTTCATTAAAAATAAGAACCTCATATTCAGAGGGCCAAATATTGTACAAGTTAAGTACCCTCCTTGAGAAATCCACATTTAGATGCAGCCTCTGTACTAGGCACAACTCAGTACTCCCAGCAGAAGCTGTGCACTGCCTCTTTTTATAAGATGCATCACTTCTGCAATCTAACAGTAAATTACAAATCAAGCCTGACCTGCAGGTTGAAGTACAAGGCCCATTGTTTTCTCCTGCTCTTCACTGAGGGGAAGACCGAGTGGCTCTGCCACTGCTTTGCCCTACAGGGAGTTGGTATGCTGATAATGACTATTTGCTCTCAGTTACACTGTGTGCAGGGAACTGAACTTCTAGTGCATAAAGTGTTACTGAGTCTAAAAGCAACCAAGATGATAGTGTGGCCACTAACTGAAGGCCTTTTTGGACCTTAAACAAACAGTACAAATGGAATAGTACATTAAAGCAGAGCTGGAAAATACAGTTGAGGAGTCATGTTCTGGAGTATTAACAAATTTGTGCTATCTCTGGATGATACTCCAGTAAGGGGTAGCACATTACGTGTTCCATATGGAAGTAAATCTGTCTTCCTAGCCATGTGGAAAGCAAAAAGATCTGTAAAATCTTCTTAATCCTTTAAAATCTGTGTTCTTTCCAAAATAAACCCACTTTTCATTTGTAAATATAGAAAAGCTTGTTAAAAGTACGTGATGAGTGAAATAAATGTAGAATGCCATTGAACGTTTTGAATGAGAAAAGGCTCCATCTCAGACTGAAGTTCGGACAGGCAACAACAACTGCCTTTGGTGTTACTGAAATCTGGTAAACCTAAATTCTCTTGTCAGCTATCCCAGTCCTCAGAGCTGTATTTCACATCCAGCTGATAACTCAGAGCACAGGCAAAATCAGCAACTGTGTTTCACAGCACAAGGGACAACACTTTTACGAGTATCTGTAACACTTTCAGAGCTTCTTTTTTGTCTTAGGGTTCATGTTTCCTGTGCTGTAACTGTAGAGCAGAACCCTTATTCTCACGCTGCGTTGCAGTTCAGCTCTAGTGTTGTGCTAGTGATACGAACTCCAGGCTCCCACTGTTTGCAAACAGGTTCACGCAGTCAGGGTTCACAGTCACTGAAAAGTGGAATAATCTTAATAAAGAAATGCTAAATTATGAGAGCTCCATTCGGAAACAGTTTTAGACTCCACAGCCTTTTCCTCAGTGAGTTTATGGGTACGCAATTTCTAAAAGAAGTACAGAGAAACACATACCCCCACACCTTGGTCACCATTGATGGTCAGCTATATGAACACCTCTAGGTATCATGCAAAGTAGATATGTAGCAGTACATACTGACTGATGGAAAAATGAGCATCTAGCTGAGCTTCTTCAGGTTGGGCATCCAGTGTCAGAAACCTGAGTCTTCCACAACTCAAGGCAGTCCAGTGTATGTGGTTCTATCTAGATACCTTCAGATTCATGGGTCTGTCTTTCAACATGGAACACATCTCTTCTGCAATTATCTCATCTCTCAGTTAGGTCAAAGTTCCCTCTTCTCTTTCTTTATCCTGCGGGCACCCTTTCTAAGCTTTAATTTTCAACATGTATGTGATTCCTTAAGAGACCCTCCTCAGGCCATACAGCTCTGCCACCTTCACTCTATAGCAAAGCCAGTAAGATAAACCTACTTTTCATTAACTCCCCAGGAAAAAACTATTCTGTCTTTGAGAAGCTGCCTGCTCTCATTAGTTCCTCAACAGCAGGAAGCTGAAAGAAACTGCTGCAGAGATGTAGCCATCTCATCATCAAATGATAGCTCTGCATTCATGTACTATACTCGTTACTTCACATTAAGTGTTTACACAAAGCACGTCTTCCAAGGCACCTGGCACAGATTGGAGCCTTTTCGCTACAAGATAAAGCAAGCTGTTGAAGGTTTCAGGTCCTAATTCTCACCTTTGCTTGGCTCCCCTTGTTTATTATGTGATGGAGAATGCTCATCTGACTTAGATGTGCTCATCTGATTTAGAGTTATCATGGAAGGCCACAGGCATAATAAGGAATCTCTGTTAAAGGATGGCTCATTTGGGGAGTTTTCCTTTGGTGTGAGAGGTCCTAATTTACAATTCAGCTTTAGAAACTGAAGCTGGGAACCTGGACCTATGACTCAGTGTTAAGAAGTACACCATTTTCACTTTAATATTTCCATTAACAGAAGAGTCTGCACAGTCACTTATTTGCCACCAGGTGCTGTCTTACTGATTCATGAATTCTGACTGATGCTTTTTTCCTACAAAGCTAAATGCTCTCACGAAGAATGCAAACAAATTTCTTGGAAATTAGAGGACTGTAGTAAATAGCTATGAGGTTTATGGCACTAACTGTAATAACAGTACGTCCTTTATTATTGACCAAACTGCAAAACAATTGCTTTTATTTTCCTACATTGAATAATTCAAAAATACTGACCTTGATGACTCAAGACTTAATCAAAAAACCACAGCTGCTCCTAAAAATAATTATCTTCTTTGCAGATGTGGCAGATGGTGCTACATCAACTAAGAAGAGGTAATTTAAAGAATTCCCCAGGTTATCACTAAAGAAAATTAATCTTGTGAAACAATATCAGAAACTTTAATTTCCTATCATCTTGAACAAGCATAACCAGCTTCCAAAAACTTGCTGTTCAATAATCGTTCCTAAGAAGCAATTTCAATAAATAAGTGACCATTATATATATTTTTTGAACAAATCCTATTATAGCCTAGTGCTTTTCATCTTTTCATTATGATTCCTAATCTCAGCATTTTGAACATACAGAACATACTGATCCATGAAGAAGATAAACTTGGTGAAGGAAGCAAACCGAATGAACACAGCGAGGTTTCTCAGTGCAATTAACCCCAAGCTATAGTCGGCTACATTTCTAATGTTTTGCTAATATTTGTACTGAACACCATAAACAACCAAAAAAGGAATGAATCTCATTTGGAAATAGAAATATGAGACAAGTGAAAGCATGGCAAAATATTTCAGCATATTCTTACCTTTACACTCACAAAGAAACCCGACAGCTACTCAGAAACTGAGGAAGGCAGCTAGCTTAATCCAGACACTAAGCAAGCAGCAGTTTTGAAAGGCATGCAGCATCCAAACAGCATCCCTTAGCTTCAAAGCCTTTTT